AAATGTGCGAGAGACTATCATCATCAAAGCCAAAATTTCATTATTATTATTATCATTATTATTATTATACTTTAATTCTTTCAAATATTTCCATAAATCTCTCTCTCACACACACTCTCTTCATACATACACACACACATACACAATGATAAATAGTATGAATGATAAATGATGAAATACTGAGACCGCATAGAGTAATAACGATTTATCGAAGTGAGCCTACGTGTACACTCATACACAACACACAGACATACATACATCCAACATCTATTCCGTTTAAAAAAAAAATTAAGACTGACGATTGTCACTACTGTAACTACAACTCTTATTCGTTTCATCACATAGAATTACAACGCACTAGTGAAATTACCAGGTGATGATTTAATTTTTTGCAAAAAGGATTTTTAACTGCTTTCGTCCTAATTCCGGACTCTTCAACTGGAAGTAAAAATACAAAACACACACACACACGCAGACTTGACTTCATCATTTATGCTGGGTCGAACCTAGAGGGTGGGGCACCTTTGGATTACAATGGAAGCGAGACATGGGGTGGGTGGAACCCTACAACTTGACTATTTACAAAAATAAAATTTAAAAAAATCAACTTCAGTAATTCAATAATCCTGTGGATCTCTTCTTTCAGGCATAACTTTTGTAGGATTTCTATTCTGCTTCTCACTCTGTCCGTTGGAACTGGAGCTCGTAGACGTAGACATTAAGGAATGATTTCATTTTTTAAGCATCGAATGTTGAAAATACGATGATTTTCATATCTTGCTTCAGTTTGTGAAAGTCGAGTAAGTTTATTCATAGGTCTTCGTGCAGGAAGACCATAAGTCATATATATATATATATATATATATATATATAAGTAAAACTTTGGCACTGTGGTAGTAAGTAATTCCATATTAGATATATCACTCACAGTGAAATAGTATTATTTACTGGATGACACAGTTTCAAACACAATCTAATATTGTTCATAGTAGTCATATCATCAATTGTAATCACACAACTTCGAAACTTGACTTTTATAGTTTTCTTTGTCTCCTCTTATTTGTCATCGTTGGGCTAGTACAATTTTCCAGATGTCCGCAGGTGGACAGGTGTTGAATCATTCCTATTACACGTATTTGCAGTTGATTCGATAAACAAAGCTTCTGTTATCAATCGCTCCCTCCACCATGTTACATTAGATTTTAAAACCGTCATCCTATCCCATCATCCTATTGTGTGGTTGTGTGTAACTGCATGTAGTGCTATAGCTGAACCATTCTCTAGATTTCTTATCTTATTCGGGTCAACCAATCTTGATTTTGCTGCTGGGTTTTTATGTTCGGCTAGTCTGACTAACTGACCCTGTTCTACTACTTTGACCTATGTATTTCACCTAACAATCATCGCAGGCAGGGTATTAGATAAACTAAGTTGTTTTGTTTTAAAGGCTCCACAGGATCCTTTAACCGACAAAGTTTGTTTCTAATAGAGTTTGTGGGTGTTATGAATGACAGCCACTTTTATTCCTGACTTGTCAAGAATTCTGCGTAAGGTGGTTTCCGAGGTTCCTTCTTTGTATGGAATTACTACTGACAATTTAGATTCCTTATTGTTGGTGTCGTCAATATTATTATTATTATCACTATCGAATCAACTGCAAATACGTGTAATAGGAATAATTCAACACCTGTCCAGCTGGATATCTGGAAAATTCCACTAGCCCAACGATGACAAATAAGAGGAGACAAAGAAAACTATAAAAGTCAAGTTTCGAAGTCGTGTGATTACAATTGATGATATGACTATTATGAACAATATTAGATTGTGTTTGAAACTGTGTCATCCAGTAAATGATACTATTTCACTGTGTGTAATATATCTAAAAAACAAACTAATATGGAATTAATTCAATAATCCCCTATGAAGAATTTTAGGCAAAGTCCAACAATAACACGTCCCAAGGAATGCGAACACACACACACACACGACCAATTATAAAAATGAGAAATTTTTGCGCAAAAAAATATGTACATTCACAAGGAAATGCATGCAATCACATTTCAAGCAGGGTAAACTTTCTCTGACATGACTTAAAAATACATCCCAGTTATAATGAGGAGTGCATCAGTTGCTAAGTTGGTTAGACTAGTTTTCTATACATGTATTCATCGCGCTTTTTTCTTCTTTTGACCTGTTGTTCATCGTTCTTATCCTGTTTTGCAGCCTTCCCCTAAAAGGCTTCGGACTTTAATGATACTATGGCTTCCAGTAGGAGAGTCGACGACTACTTATTTGCGAAATGTGGTAACCCTCACCTTAATCCTGACCCTATTTGTAACCCTTATATCCTAACCTTAACGAGCTATTAATACATTACACAAACAGCATTTAGAAACGTGATCTTGGCAAAATTTACTCCTTGGTTGATGAATAGCTCTATAATATATACATGACAGATGGCGTTAGCCAACGACTAGCATGCGTTCAAAGTCATTCGAGCGTTCGCACTCTTGAGACGCTATTAATTGAACTTCACCAAATCTTAACCTCACTGCCAGTGTGATAAATAAATGCTCATTAATGTTTTTCCGACTGACTATAAGAATATGATTGATTGAAGTTCCTCTAATGAGACCAAGATGCAATATCATCCTGTGACTCAAACAGTCGAGAGTCCTCGCCCTTGGCGTCTGTGGTCCAGTAGTAGGTTGCTCGCCAATGACTCTCATATGGCCCAGGGTTCGATCCCCCGACCGACGACGCACTCCTTAACCTCATTTACCTGGTAGTATTCTCTGTAAAAAAGGAAGGTAACGTTGGATGTAAGCCTAGAAAGGTGTGGTGTTGAATTTCACTGTTAGCCGCCATTGTCGTGTAAATCATGACAACCTTACGTGCATTATAAATATATTTATACCAAAAATATAAGAAATCGAAAGTGTCATAATAATATCTAATATGGTTGACTGACTGACTGACTGAGGGATATGATAGATTTCACCGACAATAAGCGAGTGTGATTACAACAGCATGTGACATAGTAATCTCGTACTCACACACACACACACACATACAGGAAAGGCATGTCGACATCAAAGTCCAAATTTGATTAATAATATTTTAATTTTTTTATAGTGACAATTTCTATTAATATTACTTTCTATAAATGAGAATGGAAATAATGTGAATGGCGAGTGATGAAATAATGATACTACCACCTTACAGAGTACTAGACAGCTGTTTCCACTGTCCCGTTTCACGACTCTTCGTCAGTACGCACCCAGGACCTTCTGATTACGGGGAGGGCTAGCTCGTAGACCATTTAAGTCAAAGGGATCTGAATCAGCAGTTCATGAATTTGAACTTCTGACAATTTGTGATAAACATGAACTAGCAGAAGCTAGAATTCATAGTAAATCCGGTTCACTCGCAGTCGTTGTGAACGATCAACGGGCTGCTCTCGTAACTAGAAGGTAACTTGAATAATTTACCCCTGGGTAAGTTATGAGTACATGTTGATAGAGGATGAGACGATTGTAGAGCTGAGACTGATGTTAGCTCCTAGGCTGACTCGAAACAAACTCAATTAGGAAATTAAAGACAACAAAAGTACACATTTATACCCGTGGTTTGTCGTTGTAATATATCCCGACCAAACAAGCAACTTCCATCCATCTATCGATCCTTTTTACACATTCGGCTGCCGAGACACGAATAAGGAAGAAACGCGAGTCTTGAATTCCACTGTTAAGCGACCCCAACCAAGCAAATAACTCGTAGTTAGTAATGGCTATGCTAATATGGAGATATTCGATGCTGATAACCGAAGAAGTTAACAGGCATTATTGTTTGATGACCGTGTTTTCTTTCTAACTCCGTCAGGTGAAGTCTTCATGCTAGTCATTCCAAATATTGGGATTCCCACCTCCCTTCAATTTCCTAAGAACATTTACCACCACCTACACTGAAGCTAGTTTCTCGGGACAATAAACGCATGTGGTCATATGAAAGGAATTTGAGAAAGATTGGGGTTTAATCCATTCTCCTCTACAGGTATTGTTGAACTAACAAATACATAAGGAACAGAATGATGGCTGTAAACATCAACTGTATAAAAACCTCACCATGCCACCAGACGGCATCCAATCAGAATGTCTAACGGGTAAATTTTCACAAAAGAAGTTGGAATTCATGGGACGTCGAATCAGGTCTCAGCAACTGAGTAGATCTACGAGTTTGCCTTGTCTGTCTGTCTGTTTTCGACATAGAACTTTGCACCGATATGCACCAGTTCAAGTCGCCACTCCCCCTCCATGTAGCACACAAAGCAACACAAGAAAGTAGAACAAATGCATAATAGAGACAGTGGACAGGGATATCAGATAAAAGGAATAGTAATAACGAAGAACAATATAGTTTCATTGGAAATCATAAGTCACAAGGAGTGGATGCATCTACCCTAGCCAATGAGAACTATTTTGAGCCATATCATCAATTGTTAGCAGCCACTGGTTTTTACCGTCCCAAAGACCCCAACCAACTAGGAAGTCTGCATCTTCCACTGTGGCTGGCTTAAAATAACTGTTGTGGATTTCATTGACTGGTTCCATGTTTTGGTTTGATCGCCGCTAGCTCTTTTCCAGCCTAACCTTATGTCAGCTAATATTGCCCGTCCGTTGAGGAAGGCGATGACTAGGTACGTATGCGTAACACATGTCCTAACCATCTCAATCGGTGTAACTTCACAGCCTCGTCGATTGATTTCCCCTCCTTACCTAACACTCCATGGTCGCCTAAACTCAATGTTGCTCACCTTATTATACCTTGTAACCTAAAGGCCCTTGATTCAAACCTCTAGTGAGCGAGTGTGTGCTTCTAAACAGTACAAAACTAGGACGAAACAGTTGTATAGTACTCATAATAAAACAGAAAGTGTTAAAATAGAGAAGTGTGACTGAGGAGACAATACTAAAAAAGAAACACATATGAGTAATACTCACCTGCAAGGTTTACACCAACGATTTTGATGTTCTAAGCCAAAACGTGCACGACATTTTTTAGCACTGCTTACATCTGTGGAATTCGCGGTACCACCACCACCACCAGCACCAGTTAACAGGGATAGTCGGCTACTACTGCCACCACAACCGCCACGTTCATCCGTCGAATCAGAATTGCCAAAATCACCACCAGATTCCGAGGATAAATGAAATCCTGATTTATTAAATATTTTACCACTGTTTGATGAATGAGATTTGGATTGTCCTAAAACTGCTACCGCGGCTGCTGCGGCCGCAGCCGCCGCCAACTTGCGTTTCTTTTTACGTCTTGAATGTATTGCATAATTATCTCTTGCTGACCAACCTGGGAATAACTGTAAGGTGACAAAGAAGAGAAAGTAAACGCCAATATATATATATATATAACAAGGGTGAGATAGAGGCATATGCACGTTATTCATTCATTCATTCGTTCCACCGGAGGGAAGACGAATGTTGAATCGCTTCACCACAGGATGGTACTACACACTGTTCTAGTCACAAAAGAGCTTGTATGCGTAATTCCATATTAGTTTTGCAATTAATAGTGTTCTCTGAGCTGGTTGGTTTAGTTGCGGGGCTTTCGTCGTCTTTCTGGATGGCATCTTCAGGGCAGTATTTAGCACAAAGTTAAATGATTTAAAAATCGCCATGAATGATGATACAATTGCGTCTCCTGGTGACCAATCATCTTTGACAGTTTTCTATTGATTGGGATTTTAAACTTTCTGGTCACCTGATTTGCTTTTTATTAGTTGATATATTTCATCTATATCAACGTGTTTATTAATGGCATTTTCGTTTGAGTACCAGGCTTCTAGGAATTCCCTGGCATATTTGATGTTTCCTCTGTTTAAGATTTTGATATTATCCCAATCAAACTGATGTCCATAATTGTCTGTATGCATTGATACTAAAGAAATTATTAGTTTGTTTATTAGATGTATCACACAGTCTGTGAAACAGTATTATCATTTACTGGATGACAAAGTTTCGAACACACTCTATTATTATTGTTCACAATCGTAGCATCAGTTGTAATCACACGGCTTTGAAACTTGAGTTTTACAATTTTCTATGTTCTCTCCTATTTATCATCGTAGGGATAGTAGTAGAATTTTCCAAGTGTGAGTGGACAGGTGTTGAATCATTCTTATTACAAGTATTCACTCTCAGTTGATTCGATAAATGAAGCTTCCATCATCAATGTCTTCCTCCACACTGTGACATTAGATTTCAGAACTGTCATCTTATCCCACCCCATCCTATTGTGTGGTTGTATGTAACTGCATGTAGTGAGTGCTACAGCTGAATTATCTTATTCGGGTCAACCAATCTAGAGTTTGTTAGGTTTTTATGCTCTGCTAGTCTGACTGCCCCTGTTCTACTATTTTGACCTCACAATCACTCAAGCGGGTTATTAGATAAACTAAATTGTTTTGTTGCATTGGCTCCCCAGGGTCCTTCAACCGTTTCTAATTGAGTTTGTGGGTGGTCTGAATGCCACTTTTATTCCTGCCAGCATTTTTAAGGATTCTGCGTAAGGTTTCCGAGGTTCCTTCCCTGTATAGAAGGACTACTGATGATTTAGATTCCTTATTGTTGGTGTTGTCATTATCTTCCACATGTTTGACATCCATGTCATCATTAATATTATTATTATCACTACAACCACTATTATTAATTTTATTTTTACATTTCCCTACATATTTCCTGACTAATTTATCAGGGTAATTTATTAAGTCTCAAGGCTTCTCTGATATGCCTCACTTCGTGTCTTAGATTTTCCCTGGTACTACTTAGTTTTTATGCTCTGGTACTTAAACATTTCACCAATCCTATTTTTACTGACATAGATTGGGTGGGATGATTGGAAGTTCAAATAACTGTTTGAATGTGTGGGCTTTCTGTAAACACTAGTGTTTAAGGATTTCATCATGAGCTGACATTAGTTAGAGAACCATTGGAAAACCTGGGAGTACTAGACAACTGTTTCGTCCTAGTTTGGGACTCTTCATCAGTACGCACCCACCGGGATTCGAATCTAATACCAATACTAGTGTTTAACTCCTCATCTTCTTTCCTCCCCTTCCTGACTTTCTAATTCATAAGTCAATTAAATTGCCTCTACCTTCGAGTTGATGTGTTCGAAAAATCTATCTATACCTCGTGTGAATGCGTCATCTACATACATACACCATACTCTTCGGGTGGGGGTGAACGTTTCTATCACCATTTTCCCCCACCTATCCATGAATATATCTGCTACAGCCGGGGATATTAGTGATCCCATGGTAACTCCTTCAGTTAGTTTGTATATTATCCCTTGGAATAAAAAACTATAAAAACTGGTTTCAAGGTTATGTGATTACAATTAATATGATAATGAACAATAATGAATTCTGTTCGAAACTGTGTCATCCAGTAAATAATAATACTTTTTCACTGTATGATACATCTAATAAACAAACTGATATGGAATCACGGCAAAGTTAAACTTTCGACACCACTAACAACCAATCAGCAAACGACCTCGAACGGACCAATCGCATTAAAGAGGCATATATGATGAATGGAAATGTATATTTATAGGAAAAAAGCATAAAATAGAGAATAAAAAAGGTTACATGGGATATCTTTCTCGAACATGTGAGAGAAAAATCTCCCAGTTTAGCATGGGACTGTCAATGGAGAAGTTACACCATATCCTGTACCTATATTCATCCAAATGACTATAAATGAGATCCATTTATAGCCCTTATCCTATTTTTCAACCTGCCCCAAAATCCTTCAATAGAATTTGTATGTGTCCTCGTAACGGGATCCACAAAGTCACTTGAATGGTTGACTCTATGATGAATATATCCCAGAGATGACAGCGAATTGTAGCCTTTCCACTTGTCCGTGTGTATAATTGACCCCCGCTTAACAAGCCTGGTAATAATAGATATAAGAGTAGTTGCTTTTCTATCTGCTATCCTTTCGACGAATCCCTTTCGGAGGGAGGTGTCATACAAACCTATTACCCTGCTGTTCTCACACCCTGTTTCAACACCCATTAGATGCAGATATACAAAATCTGGGTTAGGGAGAGAAGCGACCTAGCGAAAAAAGTTCCTACGAAATATTAAAATTATCAGCTTACTCTCTCTAGCGTTAGTAGGCTTCAAACATATAGCACAACGATGAACAAACCCATCAGTTGATTTGGTATAGCTTTTTAAAGTCATGATACCACCACACAGACAAATTCGCTCTTTCCGGAGCAACTCAGATCCAGGAAATACTGGAAAACACTAACCTCGAATTGCAACAATAGTCTTGTAAGGTCACGCATTAGAAATGAATCAAGCGCTATACAACATTGAACTGCGTTCGTGAACCTCATTGGATAATTCGACATCCTTCGTGAATCTCATTGGATAATTCGCTGATTGGTAGTTAGAAGTGTCGAAAGTTTAACTTCGCCGGAATCACTTACTACCAGAGTGTCCAAGTTTCACACATAGATTAGTTTGTATGCGTGTTTTCGGTCCCACTCGATGGATGTATCATCGCATGAATGCGCCTGGTAATAAGACCAAGGGTGGGTGGGTGAGTAGATTTCGGTCTCCCTTTAGGAATGCCCTCATGTGGTTATATACGCACTCATAGCCTCCACCAGCTAAAGGTCCTATTCACTACCTTCACATTTATGACGATGCTGACATCTAATTTGTTAATGTCAGCTTGAAAATAACTCCAATGCACACTGGTGATAACTGACTGACTACAAGATTAAGTTGTCTGGAGTTTTAGTATGATAAATCATGATCGATGCGGTCTACAGTAGTAAGTCAGGTATAAGCACAAACACTCGCCGATAATATTTGCTAGCAGGCTGGTGGGAATTTTGTTCCGGTGAATCAATGGTCAGTCAACCGACTAGTCTCATGGCCTGAAGGCCTAGGGTTCAACCCCCAGTGGTGCTTACTAGTGAAGAGTCCCATACCAGGAGGTCGAAACACCCTTATAACGTAATTTACCGCTTTCAGTTGATGCCAGTTGGTGATGTAACTGAAAACCAACCCTATTCTCGCCAAATCAATAATGTAAAGACAACGATAAAAACTATCACAATCCATGGATATGTGAACGCACGACCGACCTTGAGTCGACCAATCAGAAAGAAGCGGTGGTGGTTTTCACATAAGCAATGACGTTTATTCACAATCGAAAATAATGATAAAACACACAATAAACAGAATATTTTTCCTTGACGTGACTTAAAAATGTCTCTCAAATATATTGAGGAGTACCAGCTTTTAAAGTGGAACCATTTACTGTACATGTATTCATCCAGATGGATGAAGATGAGTTTTTTTGTAACCCACTACTTGCCGCTCTTATCCTGTTTTTTAAGTCTTTCCAGAAAGCCCTCCTTTGAATTAGTATAGGGTTCTAATAAACCGATCAACAATTACTTTACTAGCAAAATACAGATAATTAGATGGTTGGAGGGCAATCGGCAGGAAGTGCAGCATGACCAAGGTTTCGTGTTGGTAGGCACTAACAAGTCAGCAAGGCGTGCATCTGCATGCGACCTTGAAGGAACTCATGCCCCTTCTGAGATTCGAATCTGCGACTTCCCCCAGCGCTGTCAGTAGTCAGAGACGTTACCACTGAGCTATTTGACCTCGCGATTGACCTCCAGTAGGACTAGTGGATACTTTGATTGGACACTAGCCAGTAACCAGTGTTATGCGTCTAGTCCTTTCTATGGTGCAGACTGAATTCTATGAGTTAGTGATATGTATCCACATATATATATTTATGTGTGTGTGTATGTTGGTCTCTCTTTCTGTTTGCTCGGTTAGTCTGTGACCACTTCACTTATATGAACTTGTCTCCTTTATCAATGTATATTCTCCTTATATTATCTTATATATAATATGAGTGTTTGTTGACAGTCCGTTGCTTAGTGACATATATCCATATATGGTTGTTCACATGTCTGCTATATTCGCTATGTATATTTGGATCGACACTCCATTATAATTAGCCATTCATGTTAAGACTGTCTAATGATTTTTCCCACGCTTTGTCTGGAACATTTATATATATTCGCATTCACAATTTGTGTGAACTACCTTTACTTACTTACCACTTTGGTGTGAGACCATTTTATTTTCGTCTCCTTGTGTTTGGACAATAGAAGTATCATCGCAAACCTAGTGGTCTTCTGATTTCCGCCTTCTAGCGTCAGGACTATTAGTTTCTCGACCAGTCCATAACATAACTTAGTCGACGAGTACATAACAGTTAGTCAGGTTTGCAATGTGGCCATCATTCCACTAGGTAGCTCGCCATCACGGTGAACATTGATATTAGATGGTGCACCTGACGGTGAGCTACCTAGAATGGTGGCCAGATTGCAAACCTGACTGACAGAATTCAGTCTGCGCTGAAGAAAGGACTAGACACACATCACAGTAGTTTCTAGTGTCCCATCAGAGTACAGGTAATATAATAATAAAACAGCCTAACTCTAATTCCAAACCCTATTATTATCATTGTTCCCTTGCATCTCGAGTGGAACATATAAACCTACAAACAGCACGTCTCCATTTTGTCCATTTCCTTTGCGGTTCTCTTTAACTACACCCACCAAGATTGCCTATAGTCTGCAATCTCCTCCTTCATGTCGTCACTCTTGGACTCACCAATCCCAAACACGTTTTTAGCCATTCCTTAACGCTCCCAGTGGAAACAAAGGCTTCAAGTGAGGGACTTGAAGTTTCGGTAGCAGTGGTATTTATTATTTTTACAGGATGAGATTGCTAGCCTGATGGCCAACCTTCCCTCTTTACCACTTTTAACACTGGCTTAGCGAGGTAAAGCATAAAGCAGTGCATCGACCGGGGATCGAACCCCGGACCACATGCGTTGTCGGCCAGCATTCTACCGCTACGCCACTGACGCACATCCCAAACGCTTAAGTAATCTTAATCAAAACAGTACTTGAAAACGAGATCGGGATGAAATTTGCACCACAATTCCTTCATAATGGCGCTATAATAACAATAATAATGCTAGCCCCACAGTCATCCAACGACTAGCACGCACTCAAGGTCACCGTTGCGTTACACACTTCTCTCTTATACCTTGACCAATTTAAAATTGGTACAAGCAAACCAAAATATAATTTTGAAATTCATTCACAATCATTTTATCATGACAAAGTTATTCTTCTCATACTATTTTCCCCATTCTTTTCATGATGGAGACAGAGAGGAGTAGAAGGAGAAGTGTGGTGACAGCTGGCTGTTAGTCAAAATTGGTGGACAGTAATTTACGTCAATGTTCATGTCCCCAATATTGGTCGTGAGAAATATGAGAAGAAAGGCTTTGCGTAGGCGGATACAGTTAACATATAGATGATCTGTTACCTGGCCCTTGTCATTGGTTATTACATTTAGTGTCGCTGCCTACCGACAAATGGAAAGCCTATGCCCTGCAGTTTTTGATGGAGACATTGAACTTCGGGCAGGACTACGAGGCTTCTGTGCAGTTAAGTGGCGTTCAAGATCTGTCAGCGATGAGGCTGCTACTTGGGACGCTGCTGGGAGGTCGGGATAAATCAGCATATGAAAGTGTGATGCAAAATACTGACGAATGTGCGACAGAGTCAGGGAAAGAGTCTCCAAAGTGGGAAGGACCACATATGGTCACGTTGAGATGGGTTTATACAGACACAATCGCAATGGTGAACAAAGAGAAACAGGTGAACATCAGCGAGTCCTGAGATTCCAGACAGCAACACAAACGAGCAAAGCCCCTAGAACCAAGAGAATCGAACCAACTTCAGGGGCAAGTCTTTGACGGGGGGACGAGTTTGGTAAGAACTGGCTGTTAGTCAAAATTGGTGGACAGTAATTTACGTCAATGTTTATGCCCCCAAAATTGGTCGTGAGAAAAATGAGAAGGAAGGCTTTGCGTAGGCGGATACAGTTAACATATAGATGATCTGTTTCCTGGCTCTTGTCTTCTGTTGTTACAGAAGTATGAGGAGAAAGTAAGGAGAAGGCAGAGGAGATCACCGACCCACGCACCCATTTCATCTGACAACAACAACAACAAAAAGAACAAACAAACAAACAAACAAAAAATGCAACAAAATAAGCAACCTTACATACCTGATGATGAATTTCTTTTTCTTTTCTAGCCATTTCATAATATTTTGCTTGTTTTTCACGTGATAACTCATGCCATTTTTTACCTAGAATTTGATTAATTGCAGCAGATTCTTTCAGCGTACATTCCTCTTGTACTTTTGAGCGCATATCTTTCATAAATAGCATAAATGCATTTAATGGTTTTTTAATATGAACACGTTTCGTAGTTGTGGTTGTTGAGTTATTATTATTATTCCCATTACTATTATTATTATTACCAGTCGTTTTAATAGAAGTATTCATAGGGCTAATAGTAGCAGTAGTCGTAACAGTGGTGGTAGACGCTGCTGTCGTTATTGTGGAACTAGAATTCGATCGATGATGATGCTGATGGTGGTGGTGTTGGTTATGAGGATGAGTAGGATCACTCTTGAGAGGGGCATTCGAAGAAGAAGACGAAGTCTTATTGGTTGTATTCATTATTACATTGGCTTGATTACTACTGCTACCACCTCTTCCACGTGGAGTAGAGGCTGGAGTTGACGTTGAATAACCTTGTTGTTGTTGTTGTTGTTGGTTATGCTGTCTGTTCATCATCAACAGATTCATTCTACTACTACAATTGCCCTCTGTACCTAATTCTGGTGAAATTCTTTGAAAGTTATAATTAAATCTTGAATTGATCATCATAGGACAATAATCAGTTGACGATGGTGGTGGCAGGAGTATTGAAGATGGTAGAGGCTGAGGCGGTGGGGAAGCGATGATATTCGATGTGATTGGGGAACTAGCATGCTTTTTGATTACTGGATGGTCGATAGATTTTCGGGATCTTTTAGAAGAGAAAGAAGAAGACAACGAAGAAGAGTTATAAAGCACACAATATATAAAAGAGTTTCCTTCAATTTTCATTATGGATTGATATCAATAAAAGAGGTTACAGGATTTCATCATGAGCTTGACATTAGTTAGAGAACCATTGGAAAAACCAGTCCGGAGTACTGGACAGCAAATTTGGGAATCTAGTTTGGGACTCTTCATCAGTACGCACCCACACTGCGGGGTTCGAACCCAGGACCTTCTGGTTACAAGACGAGCAAACTCGTAGACCATTAGGCTACTGGACCCGATCCAATGGCTAGTGCATGAATTCTAACTTCTGCCAATTCACGATATAGCGCGCCCCCTAGCCAATGTCTTCGGCGAGTATTTGTCCTCACACCCGACCAGCTGCACCCTACTGGTCACGACATCTTACTAGAACTCCAGGTAACTACCTACCTGAATAGGGCTAGTCGCTAGTGAGCATCTTATTGATATTCAAGTGTCCAGTACTCCCAGGTTATCCAATGGTTCTCTAATTAATGCCAGCTCATGATGAAATCCTGTAACCAATCAAATCCCTACAAACTAACATTTGAATAGGCATCATATTAATTTTCATGAGTTTGTTTTTAGGGATTCAGTAAGTTTCATATTTCGTCATGGATTGAAAGCCAACTGGGGAGTGTCGAAAGGCTGTTTCTTTAGCTTCTAGTTTGGGACTTATCGACAGCGCACACTGACACCGCAGGAATCGAAACCAGCACCGCCTGGATAATGAGGTCGAACGCGTTTACAATTTATCCACTCACACTGGAATCTAATGGCCAATGAATTCTAATTAACATTAACACGTGATCAAAAGTGAAACAGATCAAGTTTCGTATGAACCTCCTCTTTTGAAAAGTAATCTGTGAGTTTCAATTGTAACTGGACGATCCTGTGTTGGGAACCCAGGTCATGGGTGGTGAGTACTGCCGGTGAATCCCAAACTGTGGAGATGAAACAGCTGTCCAATACTCGCTGGTGCTTTTCAAATGGTTTCTCTAACTGATATCGATCCGTGATCAAATTTTAAACAAAGGAATTATGGGAAATAAAAGAATTTAACACTGACATCTTTTTGCATTCTTTTACGTTCCTAGTGGAACATAGGGCTTCAAGCTAGAGGCCTAAAGTTTCAGGAGCAGTGGCGTTGATTACTATCCACATGCCCAACCTTCCCTCTTTACGAGTCTTAATACTGGCTTAGAGAGGTTTTTGGAGTGCGTCGGTAGGGGAGCGAACCCCGGACCACCAGCGCGGTTGGCAAGCATTCTACCGCTGCACCACCAACGCACAATACTGACATGGAAATAATATAAAACAAGAATGTACACAGTGCTAGATGTATCTGTTCAAGTAGGCGCAATTCCCCAAGCAGTGAGATCTACCAAATCAGGCGTGTGAGGGTAAATCAATTGCACGATGGCTATATATATCGGGAAGTGGCAGACGTTAAGACTGATGGGTGGGTGATTGGATCCCGTCTCAATGACTGATTGGTCAACTGGCTCGAACCGGGTATGGAGTGCTTACTGATGGAATGTACCGAAAGTAGGACGAAATAGCTTTCTAGTACACACTCTGCTGGTTTTCGATGATTCTGTAACTCACATCAATCCGTAATCAAGCCTAAAATCAATAACAGCGTTAGAAGCTGAAACTTGTAAAACAAACCTGATGCTCATTCTAGTGACCGACTGCAGTATGAGTTCCAGTGAGACATCGTGACCAGCAGGTTTTACGAGGTCGAGGATGACGATAAATAGACACAGAACACTGGATTTCCTTCCAGTGTCTGAATCGACAACGGGTTCCTCTCGTACCACCCAGGAGGTTTTATGTTCGATTTCTAGCAGAGCCAAGAAGCTACGATGAAAGAGCATTCCAGTGCTACCTGTTTCTCAGCACTTCTGTGAAGTGATATCACACACACCTCATGATTTGATTTGAAAATAATTGACGCAACACTAGCTGGAGCTCAATTCTTCAGCACCAGCTTTTGAGTCACACATAGTTGTTGTGTTTCGACTGGTGATACTAACCAACTCTTTTTAAAAGGTGAAATTCCTAATTTCATATCCTCATTTATAGACTAAAGATCGACTTTTAAACCAGGCAGTCAGAAAGAATAAGCAACGAGGATGCACTGAAGAGACAATCAAGAGGATATCGCACTCCAAAATAGACTATAAAATGAAAACCAAATGGGAAGCATATGGCATGACGTATAAGAGGTCATGTGAGGCTGGCAGTTGGAACACAAAAGACAAACAATCTGATTTTATCTTCCTCTCTCTCTACATGTATATCAGTATTTAGTTGCTAGTCCCATTTATTGTTTTTTTTCCATATTCATCTTCATAATTTGAATAATTTTGTCTTAATCCTCTCTCTCTCTCTTGTCTTGTACTTCAGACGAATATGAGCCGTAGATATATTAGAAACAATTGTCTATCTATTCTATGTAACGTTTCAATTACCTATAGTACAAAGAAATGTATATTCAATTTATTTAAATATTTTTTGTTGTATATATGAATATATATGTATATAAAATTATTAATGTATGCATGACACGGATATATGACAATAAATCAATTGTAGGCCTACTTATTACTTGTATAGACTTACTCAACCAATCACACTTCAACTAGTGCGTACGCACACACACATACACACACTAATACCGCCATTAATACATACACACAATCTCATAAATGCTTAAACATGATTGGTTGGATTGTATATTTATGCATCTTTGTATGGCATAATCCTCTATTGCATAAAAGCAGAGTATAAAAATACACATACATGCAGCACACAAAGCAAAACATACATAAATAACGCACAACGTAAATAATGCATATACAGACACACATAGGCGAGCACATGATTGTAAGCATTTAAAAAAGTGGAAACGCTTAATAAATATGATAAATAAATAGAGCGCGCTAATGAAGAAGTGAATAGTAGTAATGCTAGTAATAATAATATTGTTATTGCTCATAATAATAATAGTAATAATCATATTAATCATAATACTGAGTGAATGAAAACAGAGATTATGAATTAATTAGGTAGTCAACTCAATAAAAACAACAACAATAAGCAAAGGAGGTAGTTAAGGCATCGGTGATAGACAACATCGGATAACTATTTTAGACTTATCAGGGAAAGAGGTGGTGAAAAATGGAAATGATAAGTGAAACAATCTCTGAGAAAAATGGCACAATAATTAGCTTCCAGGATAGACGACTGGGAATGTTGGGAAGATCACTTTGAGGGGTAGTTCAATTGGCCCACAGCCATGCTCAACTTACCGAACATCCAACACCTCCCTGAATGGGATATAAACACAGGTCCTCTGTCCCTAACTGAGGTTATTAAAGCTATCACTAATCTGAAACGAGGGGAAGCAGCAGGACCAGATGGAATGACTCCAAAGGTATTTCAGTACGGTGGAGACAGTTTACTGACTGCATTAACTGAGGTTCTAGGCAGCGTCTGGGAATCAGAGGAAGTCCCATCGGGTTGGTGTAAGACACTGATCATCCCTATGTACAAGAAGGGAAACAAGTCTTCCTGTGATAATCACAGAGGGATTAGCTTGACTAATATCTTATCTGAATTTCTAGGCTCAATAATCATGCGTAGACTAAGCGATCCTTGAGAGGAACAAACACAAGAGAACCAGGTAAACTTTATACCAGGAAGAGGGTGTATTGATCATATCTTCAGTCTTCGACAGATTTCAGGACATAGGCATACTTACCGGAGTTCAACAATCATCATATTTGTGGACGTCGACTGAGAGGTACTCTGGCTGTGAAGAGGATGCCGAGAAAATACATCACACTGATCAACACACTCTACTCGAACTCATGCAGCCAGGTGAGAGCGCATAGGGAGTTGTCAACTGAAGTGGTGACAACCACTCTACTCTAACCCTAACTTATAACGAAAACTATGGAAAGCATCGTTTTGTAGTATTCAATGATGTGATTGGTTGGTTCAGGGTCATTTGACCGTGGGTATCTATCCTTTACTGTTGCTCTGCTTGCATTCTCTCGCATTTCGGAATATGGATCAATACGGTTTCAATCTTCAGCTTTGAAGGTTAAGTAGCAGTGGTGTTGTGTATTTTAACGAGGTGCATAGAGGTGTTAGACTCAAGCTAGCCCGGTCATTATCACTCAACTTGATACAATTCTAAAACACACACACACAAAGTTATTTCGCTTAACTCTTTCCTGGAGAAGTATAATTCTCCACGAAGGTAATTGCGCACATAGTTTAACCGTTTCGATTGATGGAAACTAGCCTAGGGGCTTCAAGATGCACATTTCGTTCTATTCGGGACTAGTGTCAACTGGATGTATCTACACATGGCGTTTCCACAAAGGATTCAAACCCTAGGCATCCTGGATTCCGCTGTTGGCCATCACCTTCAATCTCAATAACTTCACGGTAATATCCTAAGACATTATTGTCGAAGCGTTCATACCAGAAGCTGTAATATATCAGTGGAGGTGGGCTAAGCATTACACTCCAACATAATCAATAAATCAATGGGAAATACAAATTAACCCAGAAACCACATGAATACAATTCAGTCTAAAATAGAATAGACACGATAACTAGGATACATCAAAAACCTGTCTGGCTTCAACATAGAACTTTGCACTGATGTACGACAGTTCAAGTCGCCACACTCCCTCCTTGTAGCACACAAAGAGAGACAAGAAAGTAGAAGAAATGCATAATAGAGACAGTAAACAGAGGTGTGAGACAAAGGAATAAAAATAACGAAGAACAATATAGTTTGATTGGAAATCATAAGTCACAAGGAGTGGATGCATCTGCGCCAGCTACTGAGAACGATGAGTTTGAGCCATATCACCGATTGTCCCCAGCCGTCATTGGTTTTTACCGTTCCGAGGACCTCAACCAGTCATTCAGGAAGTCTACACTTACCTAAATGACCGGATTTCATTGACAGGTTCCATGTTTTGGTTTGACCGCTGCTAGCTATTTTCCAGCCTGACTCTATGTCAGCTAGCATTGCCTGTTGTCGAGGAAGGCGATGACTAGGCGGGCATGCGTAACACATGTCGTAACCACATCAGTCGATGTAACTTCACAGCCTCGTCGATTGATTTCCCCCTCCTTACCTAGCACTCGACGGAAGCCTAACCTCAATATTGCTCATCCTATTATTCCACTTCACACGGGAGATAGAACGCTGGCACCTATGATCAAAGACAGCTGGCCTTCCGATGTCTACCACTTTCAATGGCCACGAATAGTCTCACTCATAGAATGATATATATGTGATGAGAGCAGGCTGTTAGTCAAATTGGTAGACATTAATTTACGTCAATGTTTATGTCCCAAATATTGGTCGTGAGAAAATATGAACAAGACTGATTCAACAACCAATCACAGCACACTTTGCGTAGACAGACACAGTTAACCTATAGATGGCCTGACATTCAACAAACAGTCACAAAGAGATGCAAGGTCAACCGTCTGTGAGAAACAACCAATCAGGCGAGTGTGTGTGTTTGCTTGAATAAGCTATAATAATGTACATGAAAATATATAAATACGTGTTGATTTGCTTAATAAACGATCTGTTTCCTGGCCCTTGTCTTCTGTTGTTACGGATAAACTAAACACCAAAGAATATACACATAGTGCTACACACATACACGCACATGCACGCATACATACATACATTAACACAATGGAGAAAACAATTCAACTTACAGAGTATGCGGTGAACATATATCACTACTAGATAAACCACCAATAGGTTTAAACGGTTTATTATAATGCATAGAGATTCCAATATCATCTTCATCAAGTAGATTTGTTGTATGCGGCAACAGAAGTTTTGAATGTGGAGCAGAGAAGGTGAATGGTTCTTGGATAAAAGTAATAGTATTACTACTACTAGTTGGCACTGATGGTGTTTGTATATCCAAATGAGAAGAAATGGAATGCTGTAGATTATTTGATTCAACAGATCCATTCAGAGATAGTATCGGCGATAGACTATTCGGCAAAGAAGACGACCGAGGAGATACAGCAGCCGAGGAATGTGCGGCTGCAGCAACAGCCAAACTTGACAAGAAGTGGACATGAGCTGCCGCGGCGGCAGCGGCAGCCGCCGCAGCACGTTGAGAACAGTCGGAAAATAAACTAAAACAAAGGAAAAATGGAATTATTGAAACGATAGAAGATAAAAGATCTGGGTAAAGGAATATTCATTAGGAAATTGATACATCTTCAAGTATTGGTTTTGTAGAGATTTTGTTTGATTGGTTGTAGGATTTCATCATGAAATGACATCAGTTAGAGAATCACTGGAAAACCTGGGAGTGCTGGACAGCTGTTTCGTCAGACCAGTTTGGGACTCTACATCAGCACGCACCCACCACCACAGGTTCGAACCCAGGACCTTCTCGTTACAAGGCGAGCTAGCTCGTAGACCATTGAGCCACTGGGACCCTATCCAATGGCCAGCCAATGAATTCTAACTTCTGTCAATTCACGACATAGCGCGACCATTTCACAATGTCTTCTTCGATGAGTTACTGCCTCATCTTCGACCTACTGTACCCTACTGATGACGGCTTCCCATTAGAACCCCAGGTTAACTGCCTAACTAGGGCCATTGGATCGGGTCTCAGTGGTTCACTGGTCTACGAGCTCGCCTTGTAACCCGAAGTTCCTGGGTTCGAACCTTTGGCGGTGTGGGTGCGTACTGCTGAAGAATCCCAAACTGGGCTAACGAAACAGCTGCCCAGTACTCCCTGCAGGTTTTCCAATGATTCTCTAACTGATGTCAGCTCATGATGAAATCCTCCATACAATCAAGTTGGTATATCTTATAACTAAATTATGTATGTCTTATCTTCAACGCACTATTTGCACAGATCTTCGTGTAGTGGTACTTCTGGGCTTCATGTTATGCTAATTCACATCTCCCATGTATCCGTACAACGCTGTATAGTTTACCTTCTCTGAAATCAAATGTATCTCCCTGCTATACTTGATGTTTTTATGCTGATGAACATCTCTTTGTATACTGTGGTGAGAGCAGCCTGCTAGCCAATTGGCTGATATTAATCTACGTCAATGTCTAGGTCACTAATATGGACCGTGAGAAAATATGAACAAGGCTGTTTCAACAACCAATCACATCAGACTTAAACGTGGGCAAATATGATTCGCCGATAGATGACTCCACTTTCCGAGGAACTCGAAAACAACCAATCAGAAGACTGCGTTTGTCTACTTGACTAGGCTATAATAATGTATGTGAAATTTATATAAATACGTGTTGATTTCCGTGATAAAACGATCTGTTGCCTGGCCCTTGTCTTCTGTTGTTACAATACTACTGATAAATCTTATCATCAGTAGCATTCGTAACATTATTAGTTGCATAGGGAAATAAAAGAACCTCAATAACATAGATATGTAGCACTCGATATAGGCCGTAGTCATCTGATTGGCTATGATGTCAGCAGACTTAAATCTACCAATCAGAGTGTAACGCGACCACAATATCAATGTGTTGACATTCGGGCAGATTCGATTCGATTGGGGCTAAGTAGGGATTTAACTTAGTTGATTAAAATGGTAGATATCATCTCTCGAGCCGATACCACTTAGAGGAGATAGCTGAACACCAAGGGGAACTTGACAACCAGCTGTTTCGTCGTTTCGTAGTCTGCACGACTCTTCAGCGGTGCACGCTTATTACCACACTGGTCAGGAATCAAACCCAGAACCTGTGGGTTATGAGACTAAGCGTATTGATCATTCAGCGACCACTTGGGCTAGAATTCAATGACTTGCGAGTTCTAACTTTGGTCGGTTCGTGACAGATAGTGGTACTCTTAACCAGTGATACCTCCGATGAGATCCCACTTTGTCCTGACATGTTGGATTATTGTGATAGTATTGTCTGAGCTATGGATAGTTTCTTGGCGGAAAGCTTTCCTCATTGCCTTTTTTTGACAACTTCTTTACGGTGGATTTCGCGAAAGAAGTGAACTTTTAGATTTCTCCATGACATTATTATAATTGTTACTCCTGATAAGTTGTTTCCAGAGAATTTTTCATCCTTTTGCTGTCCCACTAGTATCAGTATTGATTATTTTGTTCACCTGAGAGTCGATCTTTCGTGAATATGACTTTCTTTTTATTGATCGATAAATCTCATCTATGTCAATGTATCTGTGTCAGCGATGACACTGGCTAGTGGTCGGTCGCAGTATATCGTGATCTGGTAGATGTTGGAATCCATCTGCTATTGGATCAGCTCTCAGTGGCTGAATGGTTGACAAACTCGCCTTGTCACCAGACAGTCGAGGGTTCGAACCTCGGAGGGTACCAAGTTAGAGTGACGAAACAGCTGTCCATTGCTCCCTAGTGGTTTTCCAATCCTTCTCCCTAAACAATTTCAACTCATGATGAAATCCTGTAACCAATCAAATCCTTGCTGCAAACCAACACTTGATTGGAGATTCATCAGCTGGGTACGAGCTTTCTACAGAATCTTTAACATTCTTGGCGTAACTGTCTGTACACACTGATATAGAGGAACGAATATCATGCCTTTTTGACTTAGACAAACCTCCAGGCAACAGAAATACAGCTATAAGTCAGATTTTGGATAGTTGGAGGCAATCGGCAAGAAACCTTAAACCTAGGAGTTTCGTGCTTGTTGGCTCTATCACTAGTCAGCAGGGCGTGCATCTGCAACTTTGAAGGAACTCATGTCCAATCATTAATACTCACCACGGTCCTACAGGAGGTCAATTGCGAACCCGAATAGCTCAGTGGTAACGTCTCTGACTGCAGCATTCACTGGGTGACGCGTGTTCGAACCTCAGAAAAGACATTAGTTCCTTCAAGGTTGTACATACGCCTTACTGACTGGTGAGTGCTAACTAGCACAAAACCTAGGTGGTGTCAAAGGCTTCCTGCCGATTGCCCCCAAACTATCTAATATATCATCAGATCAATGTGCACCATGATGGCGAGCTACCTAGAATGGTGGCCACATTGCAAACCTGATTGGCTTATAGAATTCAGTCTGCACCAAAGAAAGGACTAGACACGTCGCACTAGTTACTAGTGTCCAATCAAAATAGATCAGATTTATTCAACAATGACATATATGAACAAAATGTCAAAAATAGTCAAAGTCGACAACGAAGATATCGTTTAGAACGATAATGAAAGTGTCACGAACAAGATATTCAGCTCAAAGACAAGAAAACAACTTAATCAATCATTCTTATCCACGTGAGCTACACATCACCATATTATTATAATATAATTATCATTGTATATAAAAACGCAAACTTGGCCACATTATGGACACGAAGAGCTAAGGTCACACGGAATCATATACATAGTTTGTTCGAAGACTGCCTAGACTGAAACAAGTGGTTGTCTTCAGCTTGAGGGTCCACTTCGACCCCCCCCCTTCCAACCTTCGACTTGAAGTCTGATCTTGATAAATGGCAGTGGAACAGCGTCAAGAGCTTCACTCTCGTGCTCCCCGGTGGTGACTCTAGACAGGTTCATACAACACACCAGTCGATCTCCTACCTAGATAGATTTATATCTGCATATTCATCAGTCCAGTTGTATGCGGATTCGCCTCGTTCACTTTTAAGTGAAGAGAGGAATCGCATGAAGAAGTCAGTGACACAATTAGGGACTCTTATCTCGGCACAGACGTTATTATGAAAGCAAATCTTCAATGAGAGGATTTCAAGAGAAGGCGAGACACTGAAGTCTACAACCGACCCCCCCCCAACCCTCCCCACATGTCAAGCTTGCTTACCTAGAATTCTGTTGACTTCCATTGTCAGGACTTGACTTCACCGAGGTCTCCATCATCCATGATGTTGGTGTTGGAAAACCTAATCGACTTTGACAACCAGCACCATTATTACCAGTACCACCATACGGTAGACCAATGTCGCTGAAAGAATTCAATGGGATAGTTGTTGATAGAGGATTAGGCAATGATTTATCCGTTTCAATGTTAGGCAGTTCTAAAAAGTGTTTATTCATCGAAGCATCAATTTTATAATTCATTTGTTGATATGAATCAGCAGTTGATATGTTAAAATGATTTAAAGACGGGATAAGTGAAGGCGATGGCGCAGAAGTAGTAGAAATACACGACGGTAACCCTGTTGATGACGATGGATGCATCATACTACTACTGTTTAGAGTATTATTAGTAGTATTAGTATTAGTTATAGAAGAGTTGTGCATGTGATGAATAAGATCAGAAGTATTCAACGGTCGTTGTACTTGAGATTGAGATAGATTATCGCCAATAAGGGAATGACATGTACTACTCTGGCTTGGATAATATCGTTGACTTGAATTCCCACTTTTGTATAAATCTAAAAATCAATAAAAAATATTCCAGAAGTTAGACTAGCTGTGATAATAAAACGATAGAAAATTAAAAAAAATTGAGAACGGATTATATATTTATTGAAGATAAACGCATCATATTATTTTTTTTATTATATTTTTAACCACATTACTAGTCGGCTAGTTCAGTGGATAATAAAACTGTTGTGATTGGTTCAGAGTTGAACAATAGGACGAAAGATTGTCCAATGAAATTATTTCATGACCACAACGTAAGGTAAATCCTGATTTAAGGAAGGAATACTTCGTTTGGGCACACTAACTGACAAGTTAACAATATGGTCACCATCACCATCCTAGGTGATCCTCCATTACGGTGCGCTTTGAATTGTTGGTGTTCGATGGTTGGAGGCAATCGGCCACAGAAAGCCTTCCTCGACATAGGGGTTTCATGCTTGTTGCCTCTCTCTCTCTCTCACCAGTCAGAAAGGTGTGTGTGCATCTGCAATTTTGAAGGAACTTATGTCCCTTCAGAGGTTCGAACCCGTGTCACCACCCAGTGAGTGCTACAGTCACAGACGTTACCACTAGATACAAGACGCTAGTTAGTGTCCTACAGGAGGTCAATAGCGAGTCCTGACAGCTCAGTAGTAACCTCTCTAACTGCAGTACTCACTCTGCGTGACATGGGTTAGAATCTCAGAAGGGAAATGAGTTCCTTCAAGATTGCAGATGAGCACGCCTTGCTGCCTGGTAATGATAGAGCCAACAAGCACGAAACCCCTAGGTCCAGGGTTTTTATGCTGATTGCCTTCAACCATCTAATTAAAAGAATACTAAGAATGTTGAAGAACCATTGTAAATCAGCAGGGAACTACAGAACAGCTGTTTTAGTCCTAGTTTGGGACTCTTTATCAGCAGCAGACGCATCCATGACGTCATACCTATAGGGAGTCGGACCCACGACCTTCAGGTTACGACGAGGCGGGATTGTTCGACCATTCAGTCACTGGGGAGGAGATCAAACTCGAATCAATTTGCGATTTTTTTCAGCACCATACCCAAAACAATGTCATCGGTAAGCAATTGTTCCCACAGACGAACCTGGTGGACCCAGCACTGGTCATAGAACTTCTCCAAATAGTGATTTACGAACAAGTTCATCCTATATAATTAGTCAATCAGTCACTAGTGAACACTACCCAGATTAATCTTTGAGATATTGGCGCTTTAAGGGGATTCAGTTAGTCTCGAGCTAGATTTCAGATCGGCATCAATTAGAGGAAGTCAGTAAACAAACCAACAGGGCATACTACTGGACAGCTGTTTTATGTCCTAACTGTAATCAATCCATGATCCAACTTCTGTCTGCCTGTATGTCTGTTTTCGACATAGAACTTTGCACATATATGCACCAGTCCAAGTCGCCACTCCCCCTCCATGTAGCACACAAAGCAACAGAAGAAAGTAGAAGAAATGCATAATAGAGACAGTAGACAGGGATGTGAGACAAAGGAATAGTAATAACGAAGAACAATATAGTTTGATTGCAAATCATAAGTCACAAGGAGTGGATGCATCTGCGCCAGCTACTGAGAACGATCACTTTGAGCCATGTCACCAATTGTTTCCAAGCATTGGTTTTTACCGTCTCGAGGACCCCAACTAGTCAGGAAGTCTACACCTTCCTACGTGGCTGACTTAAACTAACTGTTGTGGATTTCATTGGTTGATGAAGCCATGTTTTGGTTTGACCGCCGCTGGCTAGCTCTTTTCCAGCCTGACTCTATATCAGCTAACATTTCCCGTTAGTCGAGGAAGGCGATGACTAGGCATACGTGACGCATGTCCTAACCATTTCAGTGGATCCAGCTGCTTCACAGCCTCGTCGATTGATTTCTCCCCCCCCCCACTTACCTAGCACTCGATCAACGCCTAACCTCAATATTGCTCACCTTATTATACCACCACCTGATACGGGAGATAGGACGCAGGCACCTATGATCAAAGACAGCTAATCTTTTCATGACATGATCCAACTTGCAACCAATCAAATCCCTATAAAAACTGAAAATTGAAAAGTCCTCAGATGTACAAAAATGTAGCTTTAATAAAACACTAGACAGACAATGATTTCTATGAAAGAGAAGTAACTAGTCCAATTCATTATATATTATATTGTTATTATTAGAAAAAGGGTGACTATATTATTGATTACAGATAGAAATGGATTTAGGCAGAATTCATGACAGATCACAGATCAAAAAAGTGACAAACAAAGAAAGAAAGAAACAAACAAACAAGGAAACAATGACAGCGGAAATGAAAGGAGAATATTATTATTATTATTACTACTAACACTATTGTCATTACAGCCCGGTTTATACATTCAAATAAGTTTAATAGAATAATGTGATGAGAGTAACTTTTGTACAATGAGATGAATCCAATAAATTTATATTTTTAAGTGTTGGTTTGTAGGGATTTGATTGGTTTCAGGATTTTCATCATGAACTGACATTAGTTAGAGAACTATTGGAAAACCTGGGAGTACTGGACAGCTGTTTCGTCCTAGTTTGGGACTCTTCAGCAGTACGCACCCACCGCCATCGTTCGAACCCAGGACCTTCCAGTTACAAGGCGAGCTCGTATATCATTAAGCCACTGGGACCCGATCCAATGGCTAGTGCATGAATTCTAACTTCTGCCAATTCACGATATAGCGCGACCGCTAGCCAATGTCTTCGGTGGCGAGTATTTGTCCTCACACTCGACCCGCTGCACCCTACTGGTCACGACTTCCCACTGGAACCCAGGTAACTACCTACCTGAATAGGGCCAGTTGCCAGTGAGCATCTCATTGGTATTCAAGTGTTGGTTTGTAGGGATTTGATTGGTTCTCTAACTAATGTCAGTTCATGATGAAAATCCTGTAACCAATCAATCAAATCCCTACAAACCAATACTTGAATACCAATGAGATGCTCACTGGCAACTGACCCTATTCAGGCAGGTAGTTACCTGGGTTCCAGTGGGAAGTCGTGACCAGTAGGGTGCAGCGGGTCGAGTGTGAGGACAAATACTCGCCACCGAAGACATTGGCTAGCGGTCGCGCTATATCGTGAATTGGCAGAAGTTAGAATTCATGCACTAGCCATTGGTTCGGGTCCCAGTGGCTTAATGGTATACGAGCTCGCCTTGTAACTGGAAGGTCCTGGGTTCGAACGATGGCGGTGGGTGCGTACTGCTGAAGAGTCCCAAACTAGGACGAAACAGCTGTCCAGTACTCCCAGGTTTTCCAATGGTTCTCTAACTAATGTCAGCTCGTGATGAAAATCCTGAAATATATATTTTATGGGATATTTTCGTCAGAGGTATAAAAAACCAGAATAATTATAGAGTAGTGGTCACTACTCCATATAGTTTATCATATTATACTTGTGCTCATTATTATTATTATCATTATTCCCCTGGGTTCCGAATGGTGCATAGCGAAAGCTGCAGCAGCACATCTCCAATTCACTTTGACTCCACGACTGCCAGCCAATAAGCCTTTAATTTCCTCTTCTATATCAGCCCACCCCCCCGCTCACCCACGCTAAAAGACGCCCAACTCGTCGGCTTCCAATAGGGGCACCAATCGAGGGCCAACTCGACGACGGCATGTGATGTCAATTGGACTTCTTCTTAGCCTGTGTCCATCTTATCTTCATTTCTGCTACCTAATGTTATTATTATTATTATTACCGTTATTGGACAATCGATTCTCGACTGGTTGGTTTCCTGACTTCCTAGAATTCTTCATTGCTTATTCTTACTGGTCGACTATTTGGTGGTCATCAATATCTCCACAGAATTTCCGTGTCATGTTACTTCTGCCCCCTTCATAGTATTGTCTTTCATTATCTTCCATGTTTCACTGGTTTATACTAGTTCATTTCCTCTCACTTTCTCTCTCTTTGACGTCGAATCTATTTCTTAGCTATATTTGACATTTAATCCATCGTATGTCAGTCAGCTGACACTGTTCGTCGTCGAAGAAGGCGATGGCTAGGCTAGGAATGCGTAACACATATCCTAACTATCTCAATCAGTGGAACTTCACAACCTCATCGTCGATTGATTTCCCCCTCCCAACAGAGTACCCGGCGAAAAAGCCCTAACCTCAATATTGCTCACCTTGGTATACCACCACCACATCACAAGAGAGAGAGAGAGAGAGAGAAAGAGAACGCAGACACCTATGACCAAAACTCTCAAACCAACACGAAGTAGAGAGCTGTCGAATACGGTCTAGTTTCCGCATAGTTCTCTAACATAATAATGTAATGCCAATTTAAAACAATTAGTCCCTTTTATAAGTTTTGATAGAGATATTAGAAGACAGAGATTATCTGAAAAGCATTGTGGGATGTATTTGCGCTATAGATTTCGAACAATCTGATCCCTAACACATTTACTTGTCAAGTTAATATAAATATGAAAAAGTTAAATTAAACAAAGTGACACACAAAAGAATTTAAGAATGACTAACACAACGTTTGGTAATCCAATCAAATAAGGATTATAAAGCTAGTAGATTAAGAGTAGTAATAAACTGTTTTTGAATACGCAGGGAGTGGGGGTGGGTTAAGTTTATGAATAGCCTATAGCCTCGGCGTATTTCAATAAGCGCCCCAAGAAAAATGTTTTCATCAAATCACCAAATAACGGGGAAATAAACAGTAGGATTTTGAGACAAAGGTTGAATTCAGTTTATCCGTAGAACCTGTTATGCAGCCCAACTTGTGTGTAATTGTCAAAAAAAACCAAAAATATGCTCCACTGCAAACCTCAAAAATGCACAAGCATATCCCGAAATGGTAAGAAAAACAAATGAGTTGTGAAAAAGCAATGGATGGAGGTGTCAGTCAGACTACCAACTTCATCTATAGCTAAACATCTAATCGAGATGAACCATAAGACTGATGTTAACTCAGCCTTTAAGGTCATCTATAAAAATGGTCAAGGGCGCTTATTGAAATACGCCGAGGCTATAGCTATTTATAAACTCAAGCCCTCCCTGTGTATTATAAAACAGTTTATTATTACTCTTAACCTACCTTGGTAATCCTTAATTGATTGGATTACCAAACGTTGTGTTAGTAATTCTTAAATCCTTTTTTTGTCACTTTGTTTAATTTCACTTTTCCATATATATTGACTTGACATGTCTGTCTATATGGATTCAACAAAGAACTTGGCACCGAAGTGCACCAGTTCGAGTCGCCACGTTCCAAATAGCACACAGAGGTAGACAAGAAGATGAGTGAAGAGAATCAATACAGTCTGACAAGTGTAAGAGTGAAACAGAATGGGTAATGGTAGAAAGGAATATGAAAAATTACAGAGACTAAATACGTCTGCGCTAGCCATTGACAACGATTTTGAGCCATGTCACCTATTGTCTCCAGCCATTGATTCCTAGAGTCAGTCCCGAGGGCCCCAACCCGGATGTCTGCATCTCCCTACACGTGACTCAGTTTAACTGTCAAGGATTTCATGGATTGATGAGGCCATGTTTTTGTTTGGCCACCACTGGCTCTTTTCCAACCTGCACCTATATCAGCTAGTAATGCCCATTGGGGGAGGCGATGGTTAGGCATGCGCAGCACGTCACCTAGCCATCTCAATCTGTGTAACTTTATAGCCTCGTCGATTGATTTTCCCTCTTTCCCTGCCCAACACTCTACGCCTAACGTCAACATTACTTACGCCTTATTTATTATGCCACCTAACGTGAGAAAGAGATCGCAGACATCTACGATCGAAAACAACAGTCAACCTTTTCATGTCTTCAAATCGCATTGGCCATGTTTCAGAGCCATAGAGAAGGATGGAGCGAACTGATGAGAAGTACACACGTCCCTTGGTTGATAACCGGATGTCACGCCTACGCCAGAGATGGTGTAAGTCAGCGAAAACAGCTCGAGCTTTTTGGATCTGTGTTGAGATTTCGTCGCCAATCAGTCCGTTGGTGTTGATACAACTTCCCAAATTGATGAAGTGGTCAGTCGACATGTTCTATCACTTCACTCCCTATCACTAGGTTAGGAGTTGACGTAAATGTGTCAGGGATCAGATTGTTCGAAATGTATAGCGCAAATACACCACACACCTTTTCAGATAATCTCCGTCTTGTAGTATCGCTACCATAATGTCAATTTGTTAAAAAAATAATCGAAAAACATAGTTCGTAATAAATAGTGATTTAATTAAATAACGCATATGAATATGAACTTACTTGCTGCTTTAATCAATTCTGAGTGAAAGGCGGCGGCTGCAACAGCTGATGTAGACGATGCTGATGATGACGATGATGGCAGTGATGTTGTCAATGGTGAGGCTGACGCTGACGACTGATGATGATGAGTAAAAGCGGCAGCAGCTGCTGCAGCCGCGGCAGCTACAGCTATCACTGAAGGCGACGATGACGACGACGAAGATGACTTTCCATGTGAAGTTAAATTATCATAAACTGTAGTAAAATTGGAGAGTGCAGAAGACGAACAAGAAGTAGAAGTAGAAGAAGAGCATAAAGAAGATTTCGGTGTAGGAATTCTGAAAGGCACAGGTGATAGTGATAATGGGATACTTGGTTGTTGTTGTTGTGACGGTGGTGGCGGCGGCGGCACTGGCCATTGAGGAGGGGATTGTAATTTAGGACTAGATGAACCAGATGACACGACTGCAGCAGCCACAGCGGCAGCTTGTAGAGCAGCACCATAGAATGGTCCAGCCATAAAAGCACTCAAGGATGGTGTAAGTGCACTGAATGGAGACAATATCGGTGAAACACAATTGGCTTGATGATTATCAGTAAAGGACTGAAAAAAAGAAAGAAAGATCAGAACAATAAACAGTATTAAACATCACATATGATTTTTGAATTGATTACATATAAGTTGTGAAATATTAAGATCAGTATGGGCATGGTAAACACCACTGTAACGACAGAAGACAAGGACCAGGCAACAGATGCTCTATTGAGGAAATCAAGAGATTGTTATATATTCTTATGTACAATATTATTTGTTATTTATTAGCAGAGAAACAGTGTTTTCTCATTGGTCGTTTTCTTGCTGAAGGTTTATTCTGTGCTGCTCGTGACCGTTTCTCAGAAAGTTAAGCCATATATCTGCGAATCGCATTCGTACACGTTAAGTCTGCTGTGATTAGTTGGTAAATTCCTTAAGTTGAGTCTTTTTTATTGTAACCCCGATTCAGGACGTATAACACTGACGTATATTGCTGTCTACAGTTTTTGGCTTGCAGCCAGCTCTCACCACACTACTACTACAACTCATTAAATGACATAATGAGTAGTTGGATATCAATTACATCAACTACCGATAGTGCTTACAAGACAGATAGATGTCATCTAAACATCGGAAAGCTGTCTAGCGAAGCTCACCAGTAGCGTCCCGGAAGTGGGAACACTCCATCGACCTTGAACGCACGCTAGGCCTTGGCTAACGGCACCTGTCATTATCACAACCAATCACCAAATTAGATGCAAATTTCACTCTGATCATGTATTTAAGTACTGTTTGGATAATCTGTTAATAGCTCGGTAGGGTTAGGATTAGGGTCAAGGTAAGTAAGTATTGGGTTAGGGTTAGGATAAGGTTCATAATTAGGATTAGAGTTAGGTTTACGTTTAGGATAAGGGTTGTAATTAGGTGTTAGTGTTAAGTTGAGGGTTAAGGTCAGGATCAAGGTTAGGGTTGTGACTAGGGATAGATTTAGAGTTTAATTCATTGATTTCTATTTGTTTTCTTATCCACATTTTCCTTGTGGTGGTAGTCGTCGACCCGCTTACTGGAAATCATAGTGTAACAACAGAAGACAAGGGCCAGGAAACAGATCGTTTATTAAGCAAATCAACACGGATTTATATATTTTCATGTACATTATTATAGCTTATTCAAGCAAGCAAACAAACACACTCGCCTGATTGGTTGTTTCTCACAGACGGTTGACCTTGCATCTCTTTGTGACTGTTTGTTGAATGTCAGCTCATCTATAGGTTAACTGTGTCTGTCTACGCAAAGTGTGCTGTGATCGGTTGTTGAATCAGTCTTGTCCATATTTACTCACGACCAATATTGGGGACATAAACATTGACGTAAATTAATGTCTACCAATTTGACTAACAGCCTGCTCTCATCACATATCTATCATTCTATGAGTGAGACTATTCGTGGCCATTGAAAGTGGTAGACATCGGAAGGCCAGCTGTCTTTGATCATAGGTGCCAGCGTTCAATATTTGGGACATAAACATTGACGTAAATTAATGTCTACCAATTTGGCTAGCAGCCTCCTCTCACCACAATAGTAATTCAAGCGAAGGCTTTTGTGGAAGACTGCACAACTGGATAAGAGAGAAATAAAAAACTCACAAAACCAGTTCATCTTCAGTCACCTCGGTGAATACATGTACAGAAACTAGTCTAACTAAGCAACTGATACCCCCTATTATGTGCGTCGGTGGTATAGCGGTTAGGACGCTCTCCGAGCATGCACATGGTCCGGCGTTCAATACCCGGCCGACGAGGCACTCCTTTACCTTGCTAAGCCAGAAATAATGCTGGTAAAGAGGAAAGGTTGGGGATGAGGCTAACAAGCCACTAGCTTGAAGCCCTATGTTCCACTGGGGAACGTGGAGGAAAAATAAAAACTCCTCATTATAACGTATTTTCAAATCATGCCAGAAAAAGATACCCTGTTTAAGGTGTTTTCATGTATTTCCTTGTAATTATACGTCATTTAATGTGTAAAAGTCACTTAAGTCACTTATGACTAGTCGGCTGATGATCACTCGTGCGTTTGCATCCTTGGGACGGTATTGTTGAACTTTACCGGCTGTTTGAAGCTGGATCCATCGACGTACATACCAGGCTTGACTCACCTCAGATAGACGAACCATTTTAAAGCATCAGAATTGTGACAGCCTAACTAAACGAACTGATTACAAATCGAATCAAAATCACACGTTTAACAGATTGAGATGAGATTTCACCACAAAAAAATAAATAGAATAAACAGAGAAACAAGAAATTAAAAAAAAACTATACCGAGAAGAAATGCGAATGAGAGAGAGAGAGAGACAACAGTAACATGGTAAAGACACGAGGCGTTGAATGCATATACGAAAAATCACATAAAAAGAGTGAATGCATCTCCAACATTATTGACAACAATTTTTTCGAGCCATATCATCAACAATCGGCAGGTTCCATCGGTTCTTAGAACTCCTGAGAACCCTAACTAGGCTCATGCAAACCAACAGTGAAAGACTTAGTAGATTGATGCCAACTAACTATAATTCGTCTTCAACCTAATCCCTTGTGTCAAGTGATATTGATCTTTTCTAGGAAGGAGGTGGGCTTGGTATGCGCAGCATGTTGCCCTATTCATCTTAATCAATGTAGCTTCCCAACCTAATTCAGTTGATCCCCCCTTGGACTAGCACCTTATGCCTAACCTCAATATTGTTCACCATATTTTTAATAATAATAATAATATTAATACCTTTAGTCTGGACAGTATTCATAAAATCTACAGATAATTTCAGATTTATTTATTTAAACGCAGAAAAAAAACTTGGTAAAATATGGCACCAAGAAAGATGCGCCACACGATAATAATAATAAAACAACATAGATTAAAAGTAGAAATACAAGTAGAGAACGGATAAAGAACTTCATCTGGAAGGAAAACAGTCATGCTTAATAAGTTTAAACAGTATTCATCAACTATCATCAGGCAGGGAAGAAGGAAGGAAATTGCAGTACGACGTTCGCCATTGATAACTACAATTCTTGGCCATATCCGATAACGTTCCGGGCCATTGATTCCAGCTATTTCTTGGACTCCAACCAAAGAGTCGTGATGCACCAACTGATGACGCTAAACTAACACAAATATCCTTCATCCAACGACGTCACGTCATGGACTGACCATCTCTCCGCCTTTTCTATCCCATCCCAGGGCTGGCTAGCGAACAGAGACCTGTACGGAAGCCTCTGGGATGACATTCACAGCACATGTTCAAGCCACCGAAGCCAGTGTTTCCAGATGATGACACTCAATGAATGGTGATCTTCACACTGTGTTCAAACACACGCAGTCGAACCTCAGAATTACTCACGCGATGATGCCGTCCATCGAACGCAAGCAATCCGACGGAGACAGCGATGATCGAACACGCAGAGTCGCCGCCGCATATCCTCACCCTACTCGGGGAGGCCAGGTTTGACAGGCGTAGAGCGAAACAGGCCGCACCGAAGCATTGTTTTCCCGACCTTTGACAGCCAGGCTCCATAGGTGGCTCAAGTTGAAGTATGCCACCCTAGCATTCATTATACGGTTGGAAATCTCATCCGTCACCCCTCGCCGCCAGCACTCACACAACTACCCAGATACATAAACTTATCAACAGCTTCAAGCGGTTCACCCGCAAAAGAGTGAGTGCAGGCACAGGTTCCTTCCTCAATCTTGTAACAGTATTTTGCACTTAGACGTCGCAAAGCACATACCATTACTTACAGACACTGATCGCCAAATGATATTTTCAGAGAAGTTTATTGTATCGTGTGTTCTCTTCGTACAACATTTTCGAGTAAAATATTAATCAATTAACAGTATATCCTTTCCTGTGACACACAGTGATCTCTGAGCTGAAGCAAAATCCATTCCATTATGTGATACATCTGCTTTCTCTCCTTCAATCAATCCATCCACGATATCGATCTGGTTGAAAGCCAATTGTAAGAGAGATGTTCAGAAGTACATTTTGAGACCCAAGAACATAATAACTGAAGAACAGCTATCTCATTTTGTATTGGAACACGTTACTACCCATAATTACAGGTCATTCCTCAAGTTTAGTAGAAACTTGCGTAGCAGAAGCTTGTAAATATTTTAAATACACACAAGATTAGATAAATACCATTCCAGGTCATATCTTAATCGATTCAAACAAACGGAACGAGATGGAAGTTTTTGGTAGCACAACAAGTTTTAAGCAGACCACCGACTATTATTATACCCTCACCACCACCACATAACACGTAAACAGCTGTGGTATCTTCCGGTATTAATGACTATGCCTCATATAGTCATTAGGCAGGATAGGGTGAGCACGCTGTTGAGAATGGTACACAAGTCCTTTGATGGATGGATGGATGGCTGCATCTGGATATTACCATTGAGTCATCATCCCTCATTAGAAAGATAACACAGTTAAAGAAGAAAGAGATGGTTGAGACTTGTTGGTTCTATTTTGGAGAATGGACACGCACACACACACACACATACACAGTCTCACACAAACTCAGACAAACAAACAAAGAGAGAAGAAATGTTGAAGAGGTATTCTCTCAAGAATGTATAGTGACTAGGTGTATATACCTATTAAATCAATAGACAAATTATGTATGTAGCAAGGTCATTCAGGTGTACAAAAGTATACCATTTAATTTATTATTTTCTAGACTATTAATACGTATATGAACGACTTTTATTCAACCATATATGACATTGTAAAACTGTTGAATAAACCCATTGGTATCGGTTTTGTTTGTTTGATTGGTTGGAGGATTTCATTACACCATGAGCTGACATCAGTTAGAGAATCATTGCAAAACCAACTGGGAGTACTGGACAGCCAGCTGTTTTGTCAGCCTAGTTTGGGATTCTGCTTCAACAGTACGCACCCACACCCCCCAGGGCTCAAACCCACTATCTTCCGGTTACAAGGCTAGTGAACTAGCTTGTAGACCACATTAAGCCACTGGGACCCGATCCAATGGCTAGTCAGC